GGTGACCTACTGGTTTCTATCTCGGTGACATCTGGTGCTACCTACATCTCCCACCTCCTTCGTCTCTCCTCCCACCTTCATCTGTGTGTACGGGGCTGAGCATCACTATGTATGGCTCAGACCCCACCATCTCACGATTGTATGTGTGTGGAGTGATATCTATGTGAGTCAGTCTATGTGAGTCAGTCCGTTTATCAGACTTCCGCTGCATATATGCTCATCCTACATTGGTTGATCTTTGGTTCTGCCCATACTCATTGAAGTATGTAACAGCAGGCCCGAATTTCTCCCAACATTCATGCGTGAAACTATCAATTGTCGGCGTTTTATTACTATTCATGCTTTGAAGTTTGAACTATGGCTTTGAGTTCCTGGCCCCCCGCTTAGAACATAATCGTTCTGTCTAGGTACTGTAACATTTTGCTACGGGCTGCCTGGTTGCTTTTTGGGGTGGGCCTTGGAATTCCTGAGCTATGCCCATCTCTCTTAAACCACCAGTACTTGGCCCAGTTATCGGCCACAGAGAAAAAATGAGAAACGTTTTTAGTCGGATGAATGTGGGCGCTCCTGTAGTGGCCCGTGCGTTTCCTAAGATTGAGGAGCTCCGCCCCCCTCGGGATTACCATGCTGTGTGCCCGGGTGCTGCTAGCAAGCTTCTCGACCTGCAAGGTAATCCCTGCGGTGGGCCAATGGGCTGGGCTTGGGGCGGTCTGTAGCAGGTCCCCCCCCTTTCTTAGGCGGCTCGTGCCACAAGGGTATGGCTGTTCCTTTCTCTTCTTTTCTCTTGTCTCCCTCAATGCTTGTGAAACAAGCTTGCTGGTGATAAGCAACCATACTGATGCCCCCCAGAAGAAGGGACCGTGTGTTTTGAAACAAAAAACAAAAAAAACAAAACAAAAACAGAAGACATATATTCATTGAGCTCATGGTCCATCATTCCGGTTCTTCTTTGCGGTCGTTTTAATTCTAGCTGTCTCCATAAGGCTACCGTCTTCACCCGAATAGAGCACCCGGTCATTATACCTGTATTTGGTGCAACTTTCAGACCAGGTACAGCAATAATTACCGGGTGTTCCATTCGGGTGAAGACGGTAGCTCTTCCGTTGCCTTTCGGAAGGTCTGCGAGTAAACATTTGACGAAGGCTGCAGTTGAACTGTTGAAGACTTGAAGTTGATTTTCAGCGATTTGAGAGCCGTCTCCAGGGAGTGTTTCCTAGTTCTCCTGTCATTGGACATATTTCCTTGATAGTTTAGGGTTTAGGGTTTAGGGTTTCGGACAATGTTAGGTAGCTTTCATTAAACCATTCCCATCTGCGCTGAAACAGTTTTCACCTTTGGCAGTAGCCGATGCAGATCCCAGGGGTCGATCCCTTGACCTCAGCTTACCTGTGTACAGTATCTGCACAGTTCCCTGGAGTTGAACCCGTGACCTGCACGATAGCCAG